ATGACTCTCTGGGTGCGACCCTCTAGCCAATTTGCCACCCACTGTACTGTGTAGTCATCCAAGTCACAGCCTCTGAAACTTGTTCACCTGTATGGGGTGGGATACCGTATCGAAGGCCTTCCTGAAGTCTAAGTATACGACATCCACCCCTCCTCCTGTGTCCAGGCATTTCGTAACCTGGTCATAAAAAGAGACTAGATTGGTCAGGCACGATCTGCCTGCCATGAACCCGTGCTGGTTTCCCCTCAGCATAATTTGTCCTGCCGGGCTCTTGCAAATGTGGGCCTTGATAATTTTTTCAAAGACTTTGCCAAGGATGGAGGTGAGACTGATTGGCCTATAGTTGCCCGGGTCCTCCTTCCTCCCCTTCTTGAAAATGGGGACCACATTGGCCCTTTTCCAGTCCTCCGGGACTTGGCCCGTGCGCCACGAGCGTTCAAATATTCCCGCCAGTGGCTCTGCAATGATGTTGGCCAGTGCCTTCAGCACCCTCGGATGGAGCTCATCCGAGCCTGCCCACTTAAAGGCATCCAGTTCTTCCAAGTGACTCTGCACCAACTCAGGGTCTACGCATGGAAGTCTGGCACCTTGCTGCAGCCTCTCTACAATCCCAGTGAGAGACTTGTCGTGCCCCTCAATTAGGAACACTGAGGCAAAGAACTCGTTGAGGAGTTCAGCCTTGTCCCCCCTGTCCGTCACCAATTGCTTCTGCCCATTTAGCAGGGGTCCTATTCCTTCCTGGGCCTTCCTTTTACTCCCTAAATATCTAAAAAACAATTTCTTGTTGTCCTTTACTTGGGATGCCATCCTCAGCTCCATGGTAACTTTGGCCCATCTAACTGCCTCCCTACAAGCATGAGCAGAGGAGGTATATTCGTCTTTGGTGATCTCTCCTTGTTTCCACTTTTTATGTGCTCCCCTTTTGGCCCTTAGGCTGCCCTGGATTTCTGTGGTCAGCCAGGGAAGCCTCCTGGCCCCTTTCCCTCTTTTACCCCGCATGGGGATCATCTCGCTTTGTGCCTGAAGGATCGTTTCCTTAAGGCACAGCCACCCTTCTTGGGCTCCCATCATTTCAAAACTCCTACTCTGCAGTGTGTCCTTGACTAATCGCCTGAGTTTATTTAAATCAGCTTTCCTAAAGTCTAGTACTTTCACCCTACTAGTTACCTTACCCACTCGACCAATGTAAGTTAACATACCTTAGGAATTAGTTTGCTCTATATACTAGGAAACATTCTGGGACCTGGCAGTCAATGGGGAGCAGAAGGGGAAAGGGGAGAATGATAGCTTATTGCTCAGTGTAGTTGAGGATTTGGTTCATTATTCAGTCAGATTTTTTTCAATTGCAGTGATACCGTATGGAGAAGGTCATGGGCATCACACTTAAGAGTCAATGTTAAACAGGTTTACTGAAGCTAAACTGATAAATGTTCCTAGTGGCTCTAGAGCATATTTGGATTCTGATTTCTATTTACAGTAATATTAAGGACTTTGAAACAAGGAAAATACTCTAATGTTAAGCAGTAATTATGTTCTTCACTGATCTAAATCAAAGAATATAGTACTGATCTCTGACTGCCTAATGTTACAAGGCACTGTAGCTGATGGAGAACCTTGGAGACTGGCATTGGTCTGGTTCTGCTCTTTAGTAACATGCCATGGATTAGAAGACAATGTGAAGGATACCTATCTACTGCATACTACAGAATTGTGTTCTGTGGGTAAGAGCAGAGAGAGGAACAGGGGGTAGAGGTAGAATACACAAAGCCATTCCACCTTCAGAAAGGAACATGCCAGGTGTCTGGGGGCTTTGAAGAGTTGAGGGTCTAACAGTGGCTGCAAAGAGGCCTAGTAGAAAGAATTCCTTTTCCTCAGCCCACTCTCTTGTCTCCCTCCAAGGACTATATGGTTTATGTAGTTACACTTGACATAGGGAACAATATGTCTTTTTCCCTTTGTACATATGCAACTCAAGGAAATGAAGAAAAGGAAGTTACTGAGACACTAGTCCTAGTGGGAGGTAAATCATTTGCATTGCATATACATTGGAAAGAAAAATGATCACCATGCTACCAGCACTCACGGGCATGTTACTGCAAGTCTGTAAGGCTAGGGGCAGACACTACACATAAACCAGTTTAAGTGATCAGAAACTGGTTTAAACCTGTAACAGAACAGATGTTCAGTGCACATAAACCAGTTTGAAAATGGCTGAAACTGGTCTGAGATAAACCTAGCTGAATGTAGTATCAGACTTAACTGATTTGGCTCAAACCAGTTAATGCAAAGTCTGTCCCAGACCCCTTGCTGTTTTAAGATAAATCAGACTCCCCCAGCATCCTAAAATGCTCTTTTGGCTGGATGGGGTTCTCTGCTCCACAGCAGGGCTGGCCCCTCCACTCTGCTCCCTGGCTGCTGCTCCGGTAGGGACTGCAAGCTGCTTATCTCCCTCCCCCTTAGCACTCCCTGTTAAGCAGGAATTCCCCCCTTCTGTCTGCCTTGCCTGTGTATTAGCTATCACATGTTGACTACAGTCCATGCTGAATCAACAGGCAGAATCAACAGGAGCTGGTAAGGTCTCTCCATTGTTTTCTTAATGGGGCAATAAACACTGAATTAGGGGTGTTATCAATTCCCTGCTGGGATAATCAGAGCGTCCTGCCACAGCCTGGCCATGCCCCGCCCCTCAGCTTAGTACTGAACAAGGGAAGGGATGGCTGCTCTAGCACCCTCCAACTTCTAGCCTGAGCCAATGCAGGCACGTGCCTGCATTTCTGGGATGTCTGTCTGGTTACAAAACTGATTTAGCCTAGACTGGTTAGACTAACCTGCAAAGATTGAATCAATTCAGGCTCAGCTTTTTTGAATGTCTGTCCCTAGCCTAAATGGACAGGTTTGATGTCTTTTTATAACTTCATTTGGAGACTTTGGGTAAAAGCCTCTGATTGAAGTATTTGAATTTGCTGGGATTAGATTGCTAAATGCAGTTTACCTGTTTGAAATCCTGAATGTTTAACAGTCCAGTTCTACTTTTGTCATAGGATTTAAAAGATCGTCTCATTGGTCTCCAACAGTACAAGATCTGGGGCTGAATTTTTAGCATTGCCTTGAAAAATGTCAGACTCTGTGGTCCAGGACTCCTCTAATAAAGTGGGGAACAAAAATTTGGCATGTGTTAATGTGATGTGATAGTCAATAGTCATAATCATAAACTGGCATATAAAGGTGTTACAGTAACATTCTGAAGGTACCAACATTTGACTGTACCCTACTTGAATTCAGAATTTATATCTATGAAATTATATAATCATTTTTCACAAGGCTTTTTTTTGTCTTTTTAATATCCTCTAGCATATAAACATACTTAACAGTCAGTACCAAGACCTCAAATTTTTACTACTGTCATGTGTTTGTAATTTCAGTGTAATTCTTTATCTGATTTTTTGGATATTGAAAATGGAAGCCTCAAGGGCTTTTATGTGTATTGCAGAGGTACTAGTAGCAACTACTACAGTTAAGGTGGCACAACAGTTCCCAATATTCTGTTTTCAGTCCTTCCTAATTCCCTGTTATTTCCACTTGTGAGGCTAGATGTTTTCCATATTCAGGTTTTGCCTAAAGGTGAATATATCCATCTGCCAATTTTGAGACTAAGAGCAACGGGATGGCAAAATATATATTATATAAACTGTCTTGTAACTAGTTTTTGAACATTTCTATATCTGAAATAGCTGTGGCAAGAAAAAAAAAACTTCTGTGGGACTAACTGCCATGGGAGGTGAGGGGGTTGTTGTTTTGGACTCAATAGACTGAACTGATAGAATGAATTTGCCTTTGTAAACTATGTGTTTATAGACACTGTAGAATTGTCAAGGATGACAGTGACTTGAGCTGTATAAAGTATATGGGCCATAAATGTGGGGAAGAAAAAGTAAAATTCATTTTCCTTCATCCAAGACCATGTTGTGGAGTTATTAGGAATCTCCTTTAGCTGTTGTTCTAGCCAGTCAGCAGGGTTGGAGGCCATGGTCTTTTTGTTCCAGCTGCATAAAATACTCCAGGCCCTGAAAATCTCACAATATACAAGGGAGTCATGCCTCCCTTGTATTGCTGCTGGGAGCAGCATGGGCATGCCTGCTCATGCTGGGAGCAGCATGGGCAGGCATGGCCCTTCTGCTGCTCCCAGAGCCATAGCAAGTTCATTCAGTGCTTTAGGGGTAGAGAGGGTATGCAGACCACTGTAAGGTAGGTGGGGGTAGGGAGGTGGGGGAGGGGAAGTCTTACCTTCCAGGGCTCTCTGCACACTGAAGGCAGCTCCTGCCATTGCTGCTGCTATAGCAGGACCTGCTCTGGCTTCAAGAGCCCCATGGCATGGGCTTTCTGGGAGCCATTTGAGTGCAGAGCTGTGCCTGCTATAGCTAAGATTCCCCAAAAGAAACATCATTCCACTTGCCCCACTCACCTGTTGCCCCACAAATACACAGCACCTCAGGCTAGTACCCCACTTGCTTCCCCAAGTTACACTACTAGTTGCTGCTACATGGGGCTTAAGTGCTGCAGATGGCTGCTGCAAAGTTCTCTGCATACAGAGTAACTTTCACTGTAATATCTTGCAAGGTATACAGCAAAGGGAGGATCTGCTGTCCATGCATGAGTACATTAGTTGCCCAATGTAATCTCCAGTCACATCTACTCAGGGTCCCTACAGACCTTTCATGCTGGGTAGGTGTGGAAAGATGCCTCCACTGTGACTGTGTAGACCTAGGTTGATTTCTTTAACTCCAAGCTGCATGTCTCCACTGCAGCTTAAGGCCCATAATTTCAAGGCTTTTGAGAAATGAAATGTTTTGAGGGCTCAAAGAATATGTTTATTATTGTGTCTGTCATGGAGAGGATGGTTTGATTGTTTGTTTCTGTTATGTCTGCCATACTTCTGTGTACCTAGTGAGTGGAGTGTGCTGACAAATCTATGAGGACATTTCATGGAGAAACTTATCTAATGATGCTCAGAATTTGAGATGGGAATTACTTTATGTTTTAAGAATTTAAATGCATAGGATGCAAAGCAACCTGACTCAAGAAGTCTATGGGCCAACGAGAGGCAAAGCGCTGCTCGACCTGGTACTGGCTACTGGGGATGACCTAGTCAGCGACCTAGTGATCGATGGGAAGCTGGGTGACAGTGACCACGAGCTGATCACCTTCACCATCCGCCGAAAAGCTGGCAAGTCAGTCAGCAACACGGAAGTCCTTGACTTCAGGAAAGCCAACTTTGACAAGCTCAGGAGGCTTGTCAGTGAGGCCCTAAGGGACCATGACCACAGGGAGAGGGGAGTTCAAGAAGAGTGGTTGCTCCTCAAGGGAGCGATCCTCAATGCACAAATTAAGTCTATTCCATCTCGGAGGAAAGGCAGAAAGAGGGCACAGCAGCCCCCCTGGCTCTCCAGGGACCTAGCAGATCT